TATTCCTCCTATAAAATGAATTTCAGTGAGTTAAGCACAGCTAAAGACAAAAATCATTATCCCGTATGTATTACACAACCATCACTGTAAAAATCAGGAAATATAGTGAAAAAGTCTCAGGAGAAACCTACTTCTGTGTCTGGTACTAACTGCAAGTGTAACAGTAAGGTCATTTAACTTCCCTAAACCTGGGTTTCTCTCCTATAAAATAAGATAGTTAAGACTTAATTATTTCTAAGGAAACTGTCATCTCTCAAAATAATTCCAAACACCAAAAATATTAAAGTCTGAAAGATGATATTCAAAATTCCTAACAGATTCTTCATATGGCCAATATGTACTCAGCAGTTACTGAACTATGAGAAAAGTGGTGCTTCTTACCTGAAAGTTTATTGTCATGCAGCAAACTTCGAAGCTTATTACAAAGCTGGATCATGCTGTCCAGCTGTCTATTTATCTTCACGTCTTGTATCCAGGCTGGAGTGTAACACACTGGACATCCAGTGCCAATACAGTCACTTACACAATTACTTAAAAAGGAATAAAAGTATGTATCAAACAACCAGGAGAATCTGAATTCCAAAAAAATTCCAAAAAAAATTAAGAATTTGAACAAAACCACATGAAGAAGGGGTTGTTCTTACAGTAGTCAATGATAAAATATTTGTTCAGTGTTCTAGAAAATACGATACACATAAAAAGCCTAAATCTAAGGTTGCTTATGTAATTGCTATGAAGAAACTTTACATAGCCAGATATGAGTCTGCTTCTAAACATTAAACAGACACAAACATATTTAGAACCCATGTATAGGATCTACATGTCTTAATAACTGGAACCTAAACCTGAACACTGTGTTCCATGGAAATAGCTAAAGTTACTATGAGAGTGAGAAAGATATTTTTGTTGTTATTTTTTTTAAAGATTTATTTACTTATGCATACAGATCTGGAGTACAAGCCAAAAGTGCAGAATGGTGACAGGGTTCACCAGAGACAGAGTGGGGAGCAGGAAAGGCAGATCAACAAAGTACATTGCTGAGGGGAGCAGCGGCCGGGTCAGGAGAGGTCTGCCTGGCCATGTGGATCACCTCCGGGGCTAGGGATCAAACTGGCACTGAAGCAGCTGTGGCTAGCATGCAGTGCTGCATCCTAATCCGTTGTGCCACCAGGTATGGCCCTGTTGTTGTTATTTTGAAGAAAAAAAAATCTTTGGTTTAAATTTCAAATACCTTTATAACATTCAGACTCAAATTATCTCGAGTTATATAACTAAGATTTCATAGTCAGAAGGGTGTTCTTAACTTTGGGACTGCAAATTCTTTACAAATCTGATGGGAAGTCATAGGTTACTTGTTTAAAAAAAAAAAAAAAGGTGTGGGAAAACAGTCTTTCAACCTCTCCTGAAATCTGTGAATCTGTTATTAGAAACTTCTAAGTCCATGCCTTCCTTAGCTCCACCAAATAAGGTCTGTCAAAACAGGGTAATAAAATACAATAGTTGCAGATGCAATCCTTTACCGAGAATCTCTCTTAGTAGATAGAGAGGAGCATTAAAATACCTAAACCCTTTAGAAGGTCTTCAAATAAAACATAATGTTTTATCCTAATATCTTAACATGAATCCTTACTTATATTAATTCAACAAATACAAAATCAATCTGTAAACCACAACTCCCCAACTCCTCACCAAAAAGACTTCCTAAAAGGTCAAATTTCTTTAGCTAAAAATCTTTTTTGAGGGCTCTCCCCGGTTAAAGCACCACATTATGAGGCTCTCCGAAACCGCTGCAACGAGTTCAATCCCCAGCCAGGGAGCTGACCCACAAGGCTTGGCAGACCTCTTCTGAAGCCCACTGCTCCCCTCGGCAGTGTACTTTGTCAATCTGCCTGTTCTGTTCCCCACTCTGTCTCTAGTAAATCCTCTCACCACCCCTGCACCTCTAGCCTGTACCCCAGTTGTATAAGCATAAATAAATCTTTTTTTAAAAAAAATCTTTTTGAAGTGTAAGAGTTTAAGAACTCTTAAGAAATCCCAAAATAGGTAAACACTTTCCTCAAGGGATGTGAATAATCAATTGTTGTGCAATATTTAATTATTTGATGAACACCAGTAAAATACAGTCAAAACTGCAGCCTCCCTAGTAGCACAGGTGTTTAAAGTCTCAGTGGGCTAAGCAGACCTCTCACCTGTCCCCACTGCTCCCCTCAGCAGTATGTTTCAGTATATCTACCTGTTCTGCTCCCCACTCTGTCTCTGGTGAATCCTCTCACCACCCCGGCACCCCCGCATCTCTCTGGCCTACAATCCATTGTGCATTTCTTCTATGCACAAATAAATAAAAATGAATCTAAAAAAAGAAAATTACAGTTAAAACCTATCTATCATACCACCTCATATCCAGATGAAAATGAGATCTAATTAATCAAGACACCCAGTACATTAGAAATTAAAAGCCCATTTTATACATGTTAGAATGCCTGCATTACAACTGACCTCAAATTACTTTGGACACATTTATCCAGAATTTCAGAAAATTACAGAAAAATGTGTCATTCCTGGAGATCTTCATAACTCAGTGACCTGCTATTTTCCAAATGATCAATGCATGATGTCATAAAATCATGCTGGGTAAAAGATTCACTCCAAATACATGAAACAACAGTGAAAATTAAAGCAACAGAACACAAAAAAATTACAATTTCATATTCTACACTGTGACATATCTAAAGAAATAGCATCTGTCAAAGTGTAGTATAGTTATTAAAGAATAATATCCATCATCAGGGCCCTTCCTGGTGGTGCTGTAGCCATTTCAGCATGAGTTTGATCCATGACCAGGAAGGTGACCCTCATGGCGCAGCAGACCTCTCCTGTCTCACCCACTGCTGCCCTCAGCAGTGTACATCGATCTGCATGTTCTGCTGCTCCCCACTGTCTCTGGTGAATCCTCTCACTACCCTTGCACTTCTGGCCTGTACCGTAATCTATGCATAAATAATCTTTAAAAAATAAATATCAATAATTATCTATAAAAGGCTATTAAAACATTCCTTTCTCCAACTACAGTTATGTGTAAAACCAAATTTTCTTCACATGCTTTAATCAATAATATGTAGTACAACAAATTACACATGAGCAGCTCAAAATCTAGTTGTCTTCTAAACAGTATCAGGAAAGAGACTTTCAAAAACATAAAGAAAACAATGCCATTCTTTGTTCTGGAAGATACTTTTACTTAAAAAAATTATGTTAGCATGTATGTAATGGATTTAGACATTTTTAAATGAGTTGGTATTTCTAAAATATCTTCATTGTTGGCCCTCCCTGGTGGCGCAGCAAGTTAAAGCACAGCACTGAGAATCTGAGGCCGCTTCCGCATGAGTTCGATTCCCGCCTGCCCCGGAGGTGACCACATGACGCGGCAGACCTCTCTGACCCGCCCGCTGCTCCCCTCAGCAGTGTACTTCATCGATCTGCCTGTTCTGTTCCCCACTCTGTCTCTGGTGAAGCCTCTCGCCGCCCCTGAGCCTCTGGCCTGTACCCCAGTTCTGTATGCACAAATAAATAAGTCTTTAAATATATATATATATATATCTTCATTGTATACAGTAAACACACACATAAACAAAGGCTCTTTGTGGGAGTCTCAATTTTTAAGAATGTAAAACATTTGAGTATTCTAGCATTCTGACAAAAAGAGGACCTTTGGGTACAGAGACAAACATGCACACAGGAGAGATGTCATGTGAGCATAAAGGCAAAGATCAGTGATACACCTATAAGCCAAAGAATGTCAAAGAGTGCCAGAAACCAAAGGTTTCCCCTAGAAGAAGCATTGAAAGGATTTTGTCATAGTCCTCAGAAGAAACTAACCTTACTGATAAAGTTCCGGGGCTTCTAGTCTCCAGGGCTATGAGACAAGAAATTTCTATTGTCCTAAGCCATCTACTTTTTGTTCTTTGTTACAACAGCCATAGAAAACAAATATAAGGCCTTCCTGGTGGTGCTGGGGTTCAGTCTCATTACTATTAAGGCATCGCCAAGTCACTGTAGCACAAGTTCAGTCCCCATCCAGGGGGCTGACCCACATGGCAAAGGAGACCTTTCCTATCTTGCCCACTGTTCCCCTCAGCAGTGGATTTCAGCAGAAATACTGTTCTGTTCCCCACTCTGTCTCTGGTGAATCCTCTCACCACCAACTCTGACCTACACCCCAGTTCTTATATGCCTATGTAAATAAAAATAAACTTTAAATAAACAAATATAAGAACTAAGAAAACTAGATGGTCAAATTTTCAAAATTAACTGAAAGAAAAAAAAAGACATATTTGCATTATATATTAATTTTTCCAAGTTAGCAATGCTACTTAGTAAGCTTTGTAACTTTGGCAAGTCATGCTCTTGGAACTTTGATTTTCTTATTTGTAAATTAAAATAGTTGTAAGGATCAAAATGAGATAATGTACAGTAAGTAACACTATAAACTATGAGAGTTATACCAACATAAGGTTAATAATATCAGTGATTATATAACTTATCTAGTAAAAAATAAAGTTTCATAATTATTACTTACCTACAGAAGATGTGTTCACATCCTCCTAAACACACAGGCTCTCTCAGGATATTAGTGCTGTTTAGAGAAAGGAAAACAATCAAGACTTAGGTCACTGTACAATAAATGTTTTAAACCCTACATTTCATGAATTCAAGATTCAATACTAGTATGTCTAAAGATACTAAGAATAAATTCATTTGAAAGACTATTACTCCTTGGTTAAATATGTCATACACTTGCTGAATTCAAATAGCAAGTCTCAGACTGTACAAATTCCAACATTTTCCTAATTCATGTAACTGGGAAGTCATATCAACTAACTGCTCAAGAATCACTAAAGCTTTTACAGGCAAAAATCAACCACTACTTGCTTCTTTTAACTACTAAAATATATCTTCACCCAATGATTCAAAGTATAGATCATAAATCTCAAAATGAAAACCAAAGAATGAGCACAAATATATTGTCCAACAGAGCATTTCTGTGCTCAAGGTAGTAAAAGGTAGTGATAACGGGATAGTGTGTTGGGACAAGTATAAGCCAGGACTGCCCCTGGAAACATCAGGACATCTGCTCACCTTACCCATAAAAATTCATGGTTTCTCATAAGAAAACATTGATTTCCAGCAACAGTGAGGCAGTTGTCTATTTTTCATAAATACAGTCATTGTTAAAAATACAGTCATTCTTTCAGTTCACAGGAAGTAGACTGTGTTATTCTTCAAGTAACTACAAATAAGAATCATCAGGTTGCTAGTGTGCACAGTGATTCACAGCACTGAAGAAGATGGAAAACAATTATTCCCAATATTTGAAAAACCTAAGAAGGTAATGGTACTTACTGATAAATACACATCAAATTATTATATTCAGAGGATGCAGCATAGCAGGAGCAAACAGAAGCATTTCAAGGATGAACATTTATAGTACTTGGTTTATTACACTAGCCCTAGAACCTTTAAGTATTTATACCATTATTACCCAGCTACCTCCATACACTTAACACATTTTCAATAAAAACAGTTCTCTACATTACTTGAAAGATCAAAAGTATCATATATGTACACTTTAATAAATGAGTTCTAAAGTAGTTTCCAGAAAGACAGCTAAAGCCAGAACAAATCTCACAATGTTATCCTCATGACAGTGAAAATGGGGCTCAAAAAATTTTATAAAACCCAGTACTTCTAAAAACTTACAATATCTGTTTCTTTCACATTAAGTAGAACATATTGATAAAAATTTAATTTGTGATGTGATTCTGGCAATTCAGATGATCTGTTACAATATTCATGCTGCTCCTATGTTGTTTATTATTTGACCTACCAAATATCATCCAATAGTTTTGAACTCTAATTCATTACACGCTCTGCCTCTAAAATCTCAACAATGGTTCCTAGCATCACATCATCCTCTACCCCTTTAACTGTTACCCTGACCAAACATCTCTCCCTTCATGATTTCCACCTTGAGAGAAGGCCTTTAGTCCATTATTAGCAACTTATGTTCCTGAGCTAGCCCAGGGCAGAGACAACTGCTTCAGAGCCACCTCCACCCGATCTGAAGGCCCTCAGCTGCCAATCTAGAGTGCTAGACAGACCCCAATATACACCCCTTTTTATAACCATTATAAAAAGGCAGAACGAATCATAAAGCTAAATGTAATGTTCATAAAACTAAACCTTTAAAAACACCAAAGATATCTAAACAAGAAAGCAAGATAATCACAATCTTCAAATATTAAGAATAAAATCGTCATTTATATATTAATCATCTTACAGATATCAAGGGATGTTAGACAACAATCTTCAAAATAATAAAACTATTGCATAATTTGAATTCCGTATGCATTATCTTCATAGTAGAAAGTTATTAGATAGCAGGTAATAAGAAAACTCATCTTCCAGAGCAGAAGCTAATAAATGACTAAAATGGGAAAGAGCCAAGAAATAGCAATAGAAAAATATTACTCAGAAATGTAGAACCAAGAAAGGCAAAGGAGGTCCAGAATAGAACTTAAGGTTGATGAGATTGGGCAAAATAATGTTTTCATTACAGCCTGCATCCTCCCAACTTTGGCAATTCTGTCCATTATAATTTTAATTAAAAATTTTAATGTGAAGATACTAGTGCACAAACATGCAAACAATCTAAATTTCTGTCAACCAGGAAAGAGCTGAAACATGCTACACCATCCTTAAGTATCCATTGTAGTCTTTCAACGGATGTATATAATACTTTCATTAAAAAAAAAAACTCAATCAAAAGATACACATAAAATTGATCATAGTAGGTAGATAAGGAGGAATTCAGATCTACTGTGACTCTTTTAACAACCACTTAATAAACACATGCTGTTATTTTGAATCCCTTTGCATTATGTATGCATTGCTTTCAATTTTGAAAAACATTAAAAATATAAACTTAGTTTTGTTGAAACTGTAAATGAAACATAGGATAGTTCTTTTAAAGATTTATTTATGCATACAGAAATGGGGTACAAGCCAAAGATGTAGGATGGTGACAGAGTTCACCTGAGACACAGTGGGGCGCAGAACAGGCAGATCGACGAAGTACACGACGAAGTACACTGCTGAGGGGAGCAGCGAGTGGGTCAGGAGAGCTCTGCCACACCAAGTGGATTACCTCGGCCGGGATTCAACTCCACTGAAGCGGTTGCAGCTAGCTTACAATGCTGCATCCTTAGCCATTGCACCACCAGGGGGTGCCTAGGATAGTTCTTTCACAGTCTGCTAATACCCAAGCCAGGCAACCTTTCCTCATAGTACTTGTTAAAAGCACTCTCTTAGCAGTGTGCCAATGTCTGGATTATTATTCAAATATCTATGTACAGTTCCAACCCACAACTGCTCAGACCGCTCTTCCCAGCCTTGACTTCCCCAAAAGGTTCCAGGCCCAGGATGTATCCAAATACTACCAAGGACAGTGTAATAAAAATACTAAACAAAGGAGCACAGCATCTCATGGATAATAGACTCCATTCCATCAATACACAAACCTGATAGTTCCCTGAGGAACTTAAAGTTTTGTAAGCCAAGATATTATATAACATGAGAAGTGCAACATGCACTAAAGTTCCTAGAGGTAACATGTAGTTAGGACTCTGAAATCAGTACTAAAAACTAAGTATTTTGTGTTTTATCTGCTTTGGCCCCCAAAATAGGTTTGAGCCCTATATAACAGAGATCTTGACTTTGATTTGTTCTGAGCTCTGCAACATTATCAGCTTGACGCTTTTTTTTTTGATAAACATATACATTAGAAAGAAAAAGTCCCTAAGAATGATAAAAGACATTTGCATGGTAACAATTTTTGCACCCTGAAAATTCAGCCAAAGTACTTTTTTCCCATCTGCAGATATATTTCTATTAATTCACATGTAAATTTGATTTAGAAAAATTGACGCACTAAAGGATTTTAAGTTAGGGAAGACCTCAGTAGTAAGAACAAAAAAAAAAATTTTTTTTTTTTCAAAAAGAGGTCCTATTTATTCTAAATTTTCTTTGAGAATAAAAACATGAAAGTAAATTCAGTTGCAATCACAATACCGAAGCCAAGCTATTTCTTAACTGGCTGGCTGCCGAAGATTCCACGAGATACCAACTGCCGTTAAAGACTGGGCAAGATGGCTACCGCGGTGCTCTAACAGGGTAGAAAACCCTCAAAGTATTTTTAAGTGTGGACCAACACATTTTACACCAAAATGCACAGGGCCACTAAGTCAATTAAACAATTTGTTATGTTTATCTTTAGGAGAATAAACGAAAGTACTATCAAGTAAAGGACCCATCTTATCTTAGTTATTTTGTATGACAGTTTCAAATAAATCAGAAGGGGAAAATAAGAAAATACGGCTAATTGTTTAGAGGCAATAAATACACTGAAAAAAGTCCATGAGTTAAATATCCCAAAAAAGTCAAACGGGCAATAAAATTCTATTAGTAACTAATTATAATTTATTCTACTGTTTGAAACAGACAAACCACAGTCAAGATATGTACACCTACCTCTAATTTTGGTTCTTCTATGTTCTACTTCCATTCCTCCAAAGCAAAACAGAATCTAAGTAACTGCTGGCTCTCTTCCATCTTTTAGGATTCACCTCTTCTACCAAAAGGTTGTGTTTCAAGGCCTATATGTAAATATTTTTCTTTATAAGCAAATCCCTACTCACACTTAAAACTATGCCTTCTAGAACTACATCTAAAAAGTATGCCTTCAAATATTTATGCAAAGGATTCTCAAAAATCCTCTCAAACTAAAATTACTCTTCTAGCCCTGACCTCTATGCCAATTAAGTTCTCCCTTTGCTATGAGGATGGTACGAAAGGTGCCCAAAGGGCCTGGTAAGTTTCTCTGCTTGCCACAAGCACTATAACACCAGCTGTATCTAGACCCAAACTGGGATTGCTGATGTCATAATTCTAGCTCTAAATTCCAGACAAAAGGCCAGCACCCTCCTTATCTGCCTTAAGACTTTAGCTATTGTTTTACCATGGGTCATTAACCCCAGGAACCTATGGAGGATTCTTGCCAATGCCAGTGATATTAGGTCGGTCTGACTTTTTCCTTCACAAAGCTCCCTTAAATGTGCTCCTAACTTAACCTATATTTTTTCATATATTAATTGAACACTACAAACATGAACCTGTCTATATGAAATATGTAGTAGAGCTGGAAGAGATAGACATCAAAGAATCAAAACACCATACAAAGTAAATAAATTCCACAATCTGGAGTGATATACGATGCTTGCTAAGCACCAATGATCTGTGGCCTTTTCTGTACACATGTCAAACTTCAATTAAAAACTTCAAATAGTTTGTATCCAATGAACACTACTAATTAAGGACTCTAAAAACTGGAGTCAACCTTAAAAGTCATTTAGACTGGGGCCCTCCCTGACGAAGCAAAGGGTTAGAGGTGGCCCACAAGGTGCAGAAGACCTCTCCAGTCTTAACAGCTCCTCCCCTCAGTGTATTTCATCAATCTGCCTGTTCTGCTCCCCACTCTGTCTCTGGTGAATCCTCTCTTCCACTGCAACTCTGGCCTGTACCCCAGTTCTGTATACATAAATAAATCTTTAAAAAAAAAGCTGTGAACCACTGAATAATCTGTTGTTAGGCTACCAGCCACTATATATAATCACCCATCTTCATTCCCTGCCCACCCAACTCACTTCCCCTTCATTCTACTTGTTAGCACAAGGTTACTTGAAATACTCCCCCAACCTGGATCCACCTATAAAAATCCATCCAAGGCCCAATTGAAAGGCCCATGAAGCTCTCTCTTCTGGCTCTACCCAAGCACCCTTTGCATCCCCTGTCCTTCATTATAATTTACCATGAACTGCAGAGAATTTTACTTCTTATAATTAAGCATACGCTTTTTTAGTGTAGATGTATCAGCATATAGCCACTAAAGCAGTGCCTCAGTGACTGCCAACTGGTCTAATCACCAGCACCAATGTAAACTGTAACAAAAAAGTGTAATCTTCCTATGTAAGGATCCCTATTCTATAAGAATGTCTCTGAATATTTGAAACTAGCAAAGAAGGCCAAAGTTGAATGTTGGGCATCAGAAAATCTACCCTTTAGAATTTTACATTCAGAACACAACAGGTACTGCCATTCTAAGTATCTTATAAATATGAAGTCATCTGATTCCCATAACAACCTTATTCTATAAGTATTACTCAATCATTTTGCATGACAGAAAGGAAGCATATATATATAATGTACTCATTTGTCCAAAATCGTAAGAGTACAATTATGCTTTAAATCACTAAGCTGTGCTACCTCGAAATAGCAGAGAAAAATTAATCTTAATCACCTTTTAAACAAGATATAATTCAGGAAAATAAAAATCACCCACCCCAAAAAAAGTGTTTTTTGACATTTTAAAGTTGATATAAAAACACAGTCACAGATGTAAAACCTCCCTCAAATATATATACGTCAAGAGATACCTAATTACTTTAATTCACAAAAGAATGTCAAGAGGTTCCTAATTACTTTAATTCACAAAATAACATCAGGACACCTGGAATTTTACACTACAACTCCTATTATCATTTTCTGCTTCCTTTAGGAACATATTATTACTATGCTTGCTGCCAGCCTCTCAAATGAGATGGTCTTCCTGTCTCATTTTTCCAGATTTTTAAATAGCTTGTATCTGGTTGTAAAGCTTGGATCTAACACAAATGTCACATCTGGCCTCTTGAACAATTTCATCAGCTTCACCTTAGAGCCATACTCATGTTAAAGGTCAAGAAAGGATGCCCTGTAATGTAGCCAATCCACCCTCACTAGCAAATCATGCTCTCTGTAAAATAGATCCAATGTGCTACACAAGACAGATGACAGCTGGGAACATGAGACAGATGACAGCTGCAAGCTGAATGTGAGGGTAATCGGGATAATCACCAGCTCACTAGTGGAACTTTGAAACTCTGTAAAGGACACAGTGACACACAATTTCAAGTAATATGACACTGCCTTTGAATGGGGGGCGCAAGAGCAAGAAGCGGAATATTCTGAATTGTTCCTCTCCATTAATGAGGACAGGTAGTTACAAGGCAGAAATGCAAAGAAATGGGGTTTTCCTCCCCTCCCCCATAGTTAAGGGGGAACTGGCCAACTTTTATTCATTACAACACCAAACTTGTAGAGACACTAAAAAAGGAAAGCAAAATTGTTCTGAAGGCCCATGTGATAAAAAAAGTTACACCAAAATAGACTTTTTAACATCTTACCTGTTAAAATAGCTTTGCACACTGCTGTCTGCATACCCATTCAAGCCAAATTTCTTTCTGTATAGCCCTTGAGCTAAGAATGGTTTTTCACAATTTTAAAAGTTGTTTAAAAAAAAAGTAAGCAAAGAAAATATTTAGTATCTGATCCTCTAGAGAAAAATTTAAGAGTCCAATATTGAACCACGTGAAGAAACACTGAAATTTAGTTAACTTATCTATAGTTCACCTACACATATGTATTTTTAGATCACTGGATCTAAAATTCAATACTGTTCTCCAGTTAACTAAGTCTGTAGTAAATGTCTGAAGCATTCCTGAATGTTGATTCAGTCCTCTGGTTCTCACCTCAGTCAGAAACTAGAAAAATATATGGTAGGGAATAAAAAATAAAACTGCTTTTGTTAGAATTCAGGACAACCTATAGATTATTGACATGGATTAATATTGTCTATTTTAAACCATCAGCAAGGGCACTAAGTTATTTTTTAAGACACCTATCACCAAATATTCTATAACAATTAACAACACTCAACACTTCACCTGTATCATTTCATTTTGTTTCCTCTCTCCCATAAAGCACAAGTTTCTAAAGGTCTAGGAATTTGGCTACTTTGTTCATTAATGAACAAATCCCCAATGCTTAGAGAAGTAACTGTCAGTGTGTAGATGCTTGATAACTGTTTCATTATTTTTAATGAATCCTCAGAGGATGAGCTGAGAGCTATTACACTGAGTCATACAAAGGTTGAATGACAGACCAATCAACAGTATCAAAGCTGAAACCTAGACTCATGTGTTAAGTTTCTGCCCTAAAGAAAAATGTTCCACTGGAATGTCTAATTTTCCCTATTAATACATTAATGCATGGTTACAATTTTCCTATTATTGCCACTAGCAGAAGCAATCTTATTAAATTTCTTATTCTTAGGTGTATGATCCATGTGCTATGGAGAAACACACACAACACTGAGAGCCTTCGTGTACTCATTCTAGGACAAGTCAAGCCATTTTACTAGGAAGTGCAATGATGTAGTTTTGTCACAGGTTCTAAAGATACTGTAAAATGAAAAGCAATCGAGTCACTGTAACAGTACCTCTGTTTCATTTTTAAAGAGCTGCTACATCACTTACAATAAAGTTCAAGTAGGAAATCAGAAGAAAATAAAATCAGAACCAAGTCCCAAAAAAGAAACTTGTTCCCTACACCTTCAAGACGAGAGAAAACCTGCTGTAACACCGAGCTATGCACACAGCAGGTGCCCAATAAACGCTTTGGGAAGAAATGTAAGATGAGACTAGCCGTTCTTTGGTTTTAGATATACCTTCTTGGTTGCTATGCAAGAAGGACCTACAGGATAAGGAAAAGCAATCAAGAAAATGTCCTCGGATGGACAGAATGAAAACCTTAAACTGAGAGGACACCCACAGTGTAACAGCAAAACGTCACACATACCACCTCTAATTAGGAGCTGGAACCCCAAACCACAGTCTTAAGGGCAGTCCGAGGGAAAGTGAAACTGAATGCCACACAGCGTTTTTCTACCTGGCCCCAGGCCCCTCAGAACTCCTCCCCGCCACCACCACCCCCCAGAAAACCCAGGGCAAAGCCGTCCTGGAAGGGGGCAAAGGGCGAGCTGGCCGGAGCAAGCCTCCGCGCGGGGGCCGGGGAGCGCGGGATCCCCGGGACCTGGCCGGTCCCCAGTGAGAACGGCCGGCCCCACCCAGCGCCACAAGTTCAAATCCAGAGGCGGGGCCGGGCACCCACGCTTCCAGCCACACCCCCGGGCCTCTCAGCCGCCCGCTAAAGTTCGAAAACTGCATTCCTAACTGAGTTCGGTGCGAGGAGAGGCTAGCAAGCCGCCGAGGAGGAAGGGGGCCAGGGAGGGGACACGCGGCAGCAGGGCTCGGGGCAGGTACTAGGCGCGCGGCGGCCGGATCTCCGGGCGGGGTGGAAGGAGCAAACCCGGGTTTGGAACGACCCCCCGCCCCTGCCGCCTGGGCGACCCCAGCCCTGGCGCCCGTCCCGCGGCCACCCCTCGAGGACCGGTCTTTACCAACGCGAGCAGCGCAGCAGCTTTTCCAGCCGGTCGAGTGCGGCGCGGCTGTGGGCCCAGGCCCCGCAACCGCCGGGCTCCATGGCGGGCGCGGAACCAGGCTGGTTCCCGGAGCGGACCCTTGGCCGCCGGTTCCCCGGCATCGCCCCACCGGGGCAGAGGCGGCTCCTCGGAGAGCGAGTACCAGGATAGCGGGGGGACCAGCCGAAGAGCGCCCCAGACGCCGCAGGCCCGCGACCTGACCCCCGCACCAGCGGTTCGCGTTTTCCCGCCAGCCGGACGCCTGGGGGCGGGGCGGGGCTAGACGCTAAAACGCGCCTAAAACCCCGGCGCGCGGCACCAGAGACACGCCCCCCGGGTCGAGTTCGCGGGAACAGAAGGGGCGGGGCCGCGGGAGCTGGGAGGAAGAGGCGGGGCCGCGGGAGCTGGGGAGGGGGCGGGGCCGCGGGAGCCGGGAAAGGGACCGAGCGGGAAGGAACCTTGTTCGCAGGTGGGAAACTACGTGGCCCCTCTGGAGGAATAAAGGCCAAAACCAGAAACCTTAAATTGGCATCCGGGAACTTCCCGGGAAGTTTCAGCTAACTTAATCCACAGACAATCAGAAACTTACAAACTTTGACTGGTCGTTATCTAGTGAGAGTGAAGGTTCATTGAGCTTGAGTGAAGCTTTGCGGAGGCTCTGAAGCGCTCTGAGCTAAAGGAGCTCGTTTACCTCCCCGCCTGCATCCACCCCCAACCCACCCCTGCCCCCCGTGAAAGAGCTGGGTACAAATTGGAAGGTTTCTAATTTTAACTAGATATAAAAGTTTGATGTGAAACATGATTATAATAAAATTTCCAAAAAGCATTGTTGAAACAATGCCTGCCTTCCTCATAAGGATGTCCCGCAGATCACGATATTTTACAGGTAATACCTACTAAATAACACCCATTTACCCACCCCAAACAAGTCTTAGCCAATCCTTGCATTTGCCATCCCCTCCAACCCACCCCCCCCCACCCCAACTCGGTCTCAAGTCTAGCACTTCTCTCCAGCTTTGCCCACAACAGGTACAAAAGCCTCTTCTGGTGTTTTCATAACCTTCTAGCCGATATCCTTTTATCCTCCCAGCTCCCCACTAATCCCTAGCTACATTGTAGCCACCTTAAACATTTCAAACCAAACACGGATTTATAATGAATAAAACTAAAAAAGATTTATATAGAGTGTGACCTATGATAGCACATTAAACTAATTCAGGGATAACCAGTAAATTAATCCTTGATTTTCAACCCTGTTTTCCTATCTTTTAGGATAACCAGTAAATTAATCCTTGATTTTCAACCCTGTTTTCCTATCTTTTACTCTTTGCAAAGTCGCTGAAAACCAAATTCCACAGGGCCCAGTAAATTAATCCTTGATTTTCAACCCTGTTTTCCTATCTTTTACTCTTTGCAAAGTCGCTGAAAACCAAATTCCACAGGGCCCTACCTGGTGGTTCAGCCGGTTAGAACGCAGCCACTGAAGCTCTCTATAGCCACTGGAGCACAAGTTTCATCCCCAGCAAGGGAGGTGACCCACATGGCATAGCACACCTCTCCTGACTCTCCAGGGCTCCCCTTGGCAGTGTATTTCAGTCATTCTGTCTACTGTGCTCCCCACTCTGTCTCTGGTGAATCCTCTCACCTCCCACACCTCTGGCCTGTACCCCACTTCTTCTATGCATAAATAAATAAATCTTAAAAAAAAATCTACAAAACTCAACAAGGCAAATTTGGAGAGCTTTTATGATGTGTAATGGAATAAATTCAGAATTTCTGGCAGCAGACCCTCCCCCTTAAATCCCACTTCTCCGCTAAGTGTGATTTAAGTTGTCTTAAATTCTCTGAACATCCATTTCCTTATCATTTGTAGATTTGGGGGTTATTAAGTGAGTTACATTTAAAATCATCTGCCTCATAGCTATGCAATAAAAGGTAACTAATATAAATATTATTTATTACACATCTAAGCAGTACTATTGTTTCATTTTCCATAGAATACAACTGATCATTTTTATCAAATACACTTTCATTAGGACATAATTTAACTGATCAGAGTGAAAGAAAAGTTCACATTTTGGTCAAATGCTTTGAGGACCAAATAAATTTTACAGACCTTCAGTGACATTAGATCAATTGTGATGCAGTTGCAATGAGTTCTATTTGTTTTCTCTTGTCCTTTGCTCTACTTTTGTCAGATTACCTCCTCCAGGCTCATGAAATTCTTGACAGCTGTTTGATGGTGGCCATGGTAAACTTACCAAAAGAAGGAACAAGTTTGCTCTCCCCTCTGCAACTTCCCCTCCCATTTACTTCCAGCCCTGTTCTGCTAATTGCTCAGATGGCACATTCTTTGCCTTTAAAAAAAGAAGAGATTCTCTTATCCTGGATCCTGAATTTTAAGAGCCAATTCATTTTCCCATGAGTGGATGAGAACACCAACATGTAAAATCCTGGGCCTCTGTTCTCAGAGAAAAGCTTCCAGTGAAATCCAGTCCATGTAGAGCATCGTAGAACCTTAGCATAAACAATAACCTCTCCCTTTTGATTTTTTAAAAAATTTCTTATGCATACAAGAGCTGGGTACAGGCCATAAGTGCAGGGGTATGAGAGGATTCACCAGAGAAAGTGTAGGGAGCAGAACAAGCAAATCTAGTGAAATACACTGTTGAGGGAGCAGTGGGTGAGACAGGAGAGGTCTGCTGGGCCATGTGGGTCACCTCCCTGGTGTGTGTGTGGGTGGGGGGAGTCAAAGTCCTGCTGCAGTGGCTGCACATAACTTCAGAGTGCTAAGACTTAACCCTTTGTACCACCAGGGAGGCCCCTCCTCTTCCACTTTAAAAAGATCTAAATAACATGTTATTTGTCTCTCCTTTTCCCTGCAAGGAACTTCTGAGTACACCAAAGTTTAGACCTTAGGAGCTTTCATTCCTTGTCTAGTCTCTTCGTCCTCCAGTTAAATATTCCTCCATACCTTAGATCCTCAAGAATATTTTTTCTAACTTAGTGTAGCACCATGGTTCTGTAAGCATTCTGAGTCACATAAATTGGCTTATGTAAGCCTATTTATCAATCCTCCTCTCTCCATGGCCCTTCTTCCCATTACTTCGGTTATCATTTGTAGTGGGACTTTACTCCAAAGTCATCTCAGATCTGGCTCTGTTACCTGATTTTCAGGCTAAATATAATTATTGAAAGCTGTTGAAATGATAACATTTTTCTTCTGTTGCAAATTGTTTTTATAAAGTAGTAAATCTTCCTCATACTCACCTGAATAAATGCATGACAAGCAAAATGGGACCAACATAATACCCAGAGTCTCTTCCTTTGGAATGTGAAGAGATCCACAGATACAGCCTGCATACTAATTCTTTTGTGGTTTTTAATTATGGTGTCATGATCAACCACTTTGACTGCTAAGTGCGTTCTCCTTCTCAGACATAAATGCAGTTTAGAAGGGCCTCTATAAAACCAAGCATCTCCCAATGAATGCCATTTGAAATCAATTGATAAAAGCAATCTAGTGTAGTAACTGATAGAGAGGAACAAACCCTCGCAGCATCTATGAGTGTGTTACCTGCCTTGCACATTTGACTGAGCTAGGCTTCGATGTGAAAATGTTCTTAACCTAGTTAAAGTCATAAAGATTTTGCTGTTTTGTTTTTTTCCCTGGAATCCACTGTGGCATAATGATTAAATGCAGAAAGCGCCGCAGTCAAGCACAGCTGTGTTATAAACCAACCCTGCCATTTCTGAGGACTGCATCTATGTGTCTGTTTAACCAATTCAAAACTTTCATTTCTTATAAATTTAAGATTAATATAGTCCAACCTTATATTCATAGGGTTGTTATATGAAAAGAATTATAAATTATGGGACTTTTACAAGCCAGTAGTGCAGCAGAAGCAGTGGGCAAACCCTTTCACAATGAACTATACTGAGCTTTAATGTATATATTAAAATGTATCTCAGGATAAGCATTCGATACATTTTCCTATTTTTAGAACTGGCTTTAGCCTTGTTGAGTTGCACTAAGTCATTAGCTTTAAAATTCCCTTATGAAAGCACACATATTCTGAGCAAAAAGGTGACATTCATTTCATGACTATTGGAAGAGAAATACTTGCTATAGCAATTCCTTTGCAAATAGGATGCAGTAATTCTGAAAGGAAGTTGGAATTCTAGCTCTTTTAGTATCATCTTAAAAAAAAGAAGTCTACTAGATTCTTAATACTATCCTTGGAATGATGTTGCCGTGTGATAATGAAAATCTTTAGTTTACAGTCAATTATCTTAGAGATCTTTTATTTACAACTTGTTATTCCTCCTTTAAGAGCAAGAAACCCTCAGCAATTAAAATCAGTAAATTTGTCTTGAGTATTACAGGAATCTTATACAAAGACAACAATTCAGGAGGGCCGAATGTAATTCATGCCCATTCATATCGATTCTGTGATGATAAATGCGGATCCCCATTTCATCAGTCCAGATGTGTAGCTCTGTATTGATCACATTATTGACTGCAATAGACTATACTGAACTGTTTTTGACATGCTTCAGTCTCTTTAGTTACACATATAGACATAGTTTCAAGGTCACAGAGACCTTACCACTTACTGACAGATTCCCAAGCCTCTAGAATCGTCCAGATATTTTGAGACAGGTTTTGAAAGGATGTTAACTTCTTGTGGGCATCTGCCAAATTTCTGTCACAGGACTGAAAATAACTAGCCTAAGGATATAGTTACATTAATATGTCCCTACAGCATTGACTTTAAAGGTTTTGGTATCTTTTATATTTCCTGATCATTTATCAAATTCAGTCTGACACAAATATTTCACTGGTCATTGTTTTTTGTTCAATAGACTTCAGAGTTCAACCCTTTCCAGTGCCTTTTATTGCTTGCTATTTTTAAGAAGACACCTCAGTAGAAACCCCCTTTTTCTGTACAGTGTAATTACTGAAGCACATAAAGTGGTTATAGCAGGAATTTATCACTTTCAGGTGGAAATACTCCCAGCCAAATAAAAGATAGAGTAGGAATGCCAGAAGCAATTTATAACAGGCTCACTGACATTTTGTGTTGAGAAGCTCTACCACTGAATAAGCATCAAGCCATAA